GGATATTTCTTTTGCAGTGCTGAAAACCAGAACAGCCAGAAAAGCGGGGTTGCCTCTTGACTCTGGCCCTCTTCCCATCTGCTCCAGCATATGTTTTCAGGCTTGTGCCATATTACCTCAGCCATGAGCTATTTTTTTCCACAGGAAGCTGAAATCAATTTGGAAAAAAAAAAACGAACAAAACAGTCCAACTTTCTAAAGTGGACTCTCATGGGCTTTCAGTGCACACTGTGTAAATAAAAGATTTGCTTACGGCTCCTGGAAGGGAAAATGTAAATAGGAACCAGCTGCCTCTCTCCACAAGCAGAGGAACACCTGATTTCATTTCCGTCATTACCTGCTCCTGTGAACGTGTGGAGGTCCAATACCGGTGGCCGTGGTTCCCAAACTCTACTCCACATTGGAATCACCTCAGGACTGTTAGTAAAAGGAAAAACAAAAAACATGATGCTTGGTCCCTACCCCCAGATGCTCTGACTTAATTGGGACAGGGAAGGAAGGACCTGGACATCGGGATTTTTGAAAGTTCACCAAAGTGATTCTAATGTGCAGCTAAGTTTGAGAACCATGCCCTATTGGTCTAAATAAAAGGTGGATTTTACCAAGCTCCACTCAGTTCATTCTAGAGGCTTATTCCAGTTCAAGACGAGGCTCTGACGCTTACCCAGCTGTGTCTCCACAGGCATGTCACTTAACTTCTCTGAGCCCTTGTTCCCTTATGAGTAAAATGGGAATAATAATGTTTATTTCCTAGAGCTCTGTGAAGATTAAATGGCATATGGATATAGTTTGTTTAGCACATTCGTAGGTGTTTAAAAATGTTTCTGATATAACCATCATTTAAATTCAGATTTCATTAAATTTCAAGTCTTTCAAATAAAGTTTATTTTTTTATAAAAAAGAAAAGACTATAAATACCATTTATATTTTTAAAATTGTATTTAGTTTTGATTCCATGCTCACCAAGCAATTTTCTGACTCTAATTTGGCTACTACATAAAGAGCTTTTATCCACTCACCATTCCACTAATATTTATTGAGAGTCAGGCTTTGTTCTAGGCATGGGAGTACATCAGCAAACAGGAACTATTTCTAAGGGAGGAAGACAAACAATAAACTTAAATAAATTATATGATATGGTAGAAAGTGATGTGCTTTGGATAAAAATAAAGCAGAAAAGGGAGGGTGATGGGGGGTTCTATTAAATTAGAGAAACTTCCTAATTATATTTGTTCTGATCCACCAGATAGTCGTTTTTTTAATGGATTGCAGTCCAGTTGTCTTTAAGCTGCAGTAAACTCTCTCTCTGTTAATGTCAATATAGAGAATAAAATTACTTCCCAAGCATTTCATAAACTCATCATCATTTTTATATAGGTAATTGGTTCCTGAGCAAAAAAGCAACCTAAAAAGATAATGTTGAATTCCCTATTTCAAATAGTCCATGTTCAAAATGCCTTTTCTAACTGAATTAATTTGAAATAGAGAAGTGTTTTTATGTTACCAAATCCAGTTGACCTTCTCAGCCAACTGGCACTAGACAGTGAAAATCTCTATATTCTTTGTACTGTAATTGAATAATATCAGCAAGGGGGGCATGAGTCTTTCACATGCTCTAACGTTCATGAGAACAAGGCCCTGAAATCAAGGCTCTCCCTACACAGGCAGCTGAAGCAAATAGGGGCTAAAAATTGCAGATCTCTTCTCGTATCCACTGTTTGAACAGTAGTTTCTCTGTGTTTCTTTGGGGACCAGATAACATGGAGCCCCAGTGGTGAGGCAGGAGTGGGCTTACAAGACAAGGAAGAAAGATTCTCAGGAAGTCATTTAGGTAAATGCAATAGTGGAAATTGGAATATTGTTAAATCTTTTTCTTTCTTTTTGTTAATCACGTTGTAGTTTTTTATTTTCTACAGCCTAGAACTCAGAGGTCAGATATATTTTAGGTCCTTATATGTGCCCCATAGGCATCTGCACTTTTCTTTTTTAATTCTTTAATATTTTTCAATTACAGTTGACATTCAATATTATTTTGTATTAGTTTCAGATGATGTTAGACAACCATATACTTTACAAAGTGTTCCCCCTGGTATTTCCATTACCCACCTGCACCATAGATAGTTATTGAAATATTATGGACTATATTCCCCTACTGTATTTTACATCCCCATGCATGGTTTGTAACTACCAATCTGTACTTCTCAGGCCCTTCCCCTTTTTCACCCAGTCTCCCAAGCCCCTCCCCTCTGTCAACCATTAGTCTGTTCTCTGTATCTTTGAGTCTATTCTGTTTGGAACGTTGTCAGATTTTTTTAATTGAACTTATTGGAGTGACATTGGTTAATGAAATTATATTATATAGGTTTATAGTATATTATATTATATAGGTTTCAAGTGTACAATTCTATGATACATCATCTGCATATTATATTGTGTGTCCACCACTCCAAGTCAGGTTTCCTTCCATCACCATTTACCCTCCTGTTTTCCCTCCCTCATCTCCCTTTCCCTCTGGTAATTGCCATACTGTTGTCAGTTATGAATTGTTTGGGTTTCTTTTGTTTTGTTTTTGCTTAATCCCTTTACCTTTTTCACTCAGTCCCCCAACCTCCCTCTCAGTATCTCTGAGTCTGTTTCTATTTTGTTTGTTATTTTATTTTGTTCATTAGATTCCACACATAAGTGTAAATCATTTGGTACCTGTCTCTCCCTGACTGGCTTATTTCCCTTAGCATAGCGCTCTCCAGGTCTATCGAAGCTGTTGTAAAAGGTACTATTTCCTTCTGTTTTATAGTGAGTAGTATTCCATTGTGTACATGTACCACCCCAGAGCCACACAACTTAGTCTGTCCCAGATTCTTCCCATTTTTAGGCAGTGTGGAGCCACCAGGAGTTGAGAAGGTGGGGCTTCCAGGAGCCCAGAGAC